GTTGGTGGCAGACCAATCCACTTAAACAATACTCTGACAAATCTAATAGCAGAAACTTCTCATCTTTGGCATTACCTTTAATTGTAGCTACTTAGGCAGGATTAGTTTCCTCATCCATCTATGGTACTCAATAATGTTTCTGTATCTGAGGGCTTGGCTGTATCTCACAGCTTTCTTGGTGTGTTTAGGGTGATTGGTGGTTCTGTGCTGATACGTATGTTGGTCTGTCTGTTTTTTGTATAACATAGTCTGTATTTTACCATTCTGGATACTGGTTATTATGTCTAAAAAGGAGATGTTGGTGCTGGAGTATTCAAGAAATAGTCAGATGGAGGGATGATGATTGTTGAATTTCTGATGGAACTCAATCAGAGATTGAAGTTTTTCAGTCCAAATGATAAAGAAGTCATCAATATATCAGATACCACTGAATTTACACTGAGGAGAACACCCAGGATTGCCACCTCGCCAATCTTAAAAAGGCTTTCACCCAACAAGGAGACTCCTCCAGAGAGAGAGATTGCACATTTGAAAGAGCCACCGGATACCACATGACAAATTGCTGCAGTACAGAAGAAACCCCACCATGAATTGCACACTGCTGGTTATGACATATCAACCCTCCCTCGAACCCATACAGAAAATCCTCAAACAATTGCAACCCATACTAGAAGGAGGCCCTATTCTTAAAGACATCTTCCCAGAATCACCCATTCTAGCCTTCAAAGAAGCACCGAACCTCGCTAACCTCATCACCAGAAGCAAACTTCCCTAGGCCCAGAATACACCGAATAGATCCAGTCCATCTGGATCCAGTCCAACACATCTCCACCACCCCCACAATTACTACACCCCACAACAGACCCATCAGCATTCCTGGGTCTTACAGCTACACCTCCAGAAATGTAATATATCTCATCCAATGCACCAAATGCCCTGATGGAAAATATGTACAAAAGACCAAACAACAACTGCGCACCAGAATGAATGGACACCAGAAATCTATCCAAGACAGGAATACCCAATTACCGGTTGGGGGCACATTTCTCACAAGAAAACCACTCTCTCTCCAGTCTCTCAGTTCTAATCTTCAAAGATAACTCACAAAACACTTCTCAGAGATGAGCCTATGAACTTCACTACATCAACCTCCTGGATACTAAAAATCATGGACTAAATATAGACATTGGATTTATGACACATCGTAACCTGTCTGACATCTGACTCCCAAGGTACCTCTCCACTATTTAACTGCTTACATTCATCCCCCTTCTCCCCACCACCCAGCCTGTCTCTCACCCACTGACTCCTCAGTTTACATCTTCACTGATTGCCTATCTTGCATGTAGACCAGCCTAGCCTTTTTACTATTCATTTCATCCACAAAGAGCACACACCAACTGCAGAGACTTCCTCAGCCTGACAAAGGGTTTTTAAACCCGAAAGCTTGCTAAATTTTTTTTTCCAACTATTTAAGTTGGTTTAATAAAAGATATCATATTCACCCAACGAACCTTGTCTGTCTTAGTAGTTCAGCACTTTCAGTTCACTGGGTCTGCCCCGGGAACTGAGTTGGTCAAGGCCTCTACAAGAGTACAATCATAATATAGCACTACATATGGTAAACTGCATATGATTATATAATCCCAAGATGTTACCAAAGGGAATAGACTGATGCTGAATAAGTATGGCCTGGAAATGATTAGGGTTCTATCAGAGGAGAACAGTTCTAGTAGGGGTGGTGAAATGAATGTTGGAACATGTGTGTTTCAGGTTTCTTTGGAAGATTTTGTGTTTTTAAAATGGTCTGACCACTACATGAAAAGGATCATAGGGAGTGGCTGCCTATGACAGCAGGGGATTGGATTGAACCTCCTGGGTCATTATGTTCCTAGGGCAGGAGTGGGCAATTATTTCAGGTGGAGGGCCACTTCATGAATTTTGGTGAGCTGTCGAGGGCTGCATGGGTAGCCCCGCTCCTTGACAGTTGTCCCGCTCCCTGGTCGCCATCTTGTGACTGGAAGTCCTACCCCTAACCCTACCCTTTGCCAGTGGACGTCCCTCCCTTTGCCCCCAGAAGTACGCCTTTTGGGAGGGGGTAGTAGAACCTTGGAACTGGAAGTTATACTCTGTCACATGGTCTATGTCAGGGGTAGGCAATGTTTTTTGGCTGGAGTGCCAAAATACACACCATGTCTACCTTGTAAGGCGCTGGAGTGCTGGCATGCCAAATAAACAAAACTGGGACAGGGGGTATGTGGCAGGATACACTGCATATTAATATAGTTAATAATCATAAACGTTTCTGTTTTATGGTAAATACCAGGTTTTCTAAAAATTCTAAACCTGGTGACCATAAATAAAACTTCATAGAGGGAAGAGAGAGGGAAGAAAAAATAGAGGGGAGAGAGGGAAGGAAGGAGAGAGAGGCATGGAGAGAAGCAGGTGCACGGGGAGGCACTTGGGAAGGTGGCAGCTGGAGGAGAGGGGGGCCAGGAGGGGAGTGGAGACTGCCTCAGAGCTCCGCAGACTGGGCCACATCTAAGCCCCCAGCAGCACCCAAAGTGGAGCCTGGCCTGGCCCACACAGCTCCGTGGGATGGGGTGCAACTAACCTGCCCTGCCCACAAGAGGATACTGCCTGGCAGGGGCAGGATGCTGGGCTTGGGGGGCTCCTGGCTCAGCCTCTGTGCATACAGGGCACAGCATGAGTGCAGCAGAGTTCCCCGGGCCACAGCAAGAGCCCCCGGGGCTCTGGGAACAGTTGTGCAAAGCTGTGCACTTACCCCCGCTGGCCTGGCCCATCCAGTCCCAAGTGGCACATGGCCCAGCCACCAATTCTCTTTGCTAGTGCTGACTCGGCTGGGCCTGTTGCATTCCAAGAAGCATGCAGGGAAGCAGCGGCTAGGCCGGCTTCGCTGCGTGCTGCTTCCTAGCATGCTGCTTGGCACAGGCTCAGTCACAGCTTTTTGCCCTTCTAATGCCAACCTGTCCCAAGCGGTGCAAGGAAGCAGCACGTGGCTCAGCCGCTGCTTCTCGCTGGTGCTGACCCAGCCAGTCCTGTCCAGACCCCTCTTGAGTGGCATGTGGCAAAGCCGGCCCAGCCACTGCTTTCCCACATGCCGCTTGGAATGAGATGGGCCCAGCTGCGTCGGTACTGGCGAAAAGCAGCAGCTGAGTGGCACGTGCTCCCGCCACTCCCCGCAGCCCCCATTGCTTCCAAGCCCTCCCCCCTTGGCTGCAGCAACTTCCCTCCGCCCCCCTGCTTCCAGCCTGGCCCAGGATGCACCAGGGGCTCCCCCTGCTCCATCCAATATGGCTTTACTTTCTACTCGGATGAGGGTGGGGAGCCACTCCAGGGTCCACAGAAGCTTCTGGTTTGGGGCTGAGGATGAGAGGGGCAGGGTAGAGCCAGGCAGTGAGGGGCAGATAAAAATTAATTTTCTAAAATGTTTAGAGGCCCCGCAGGCTGGATAGAATGAGCTGGCGGGCCACATCCGGTCCGTGGGCCGTATTTTGCCCATCCCTGTCCTAGGGTACTAGGTTCACTGCTGCAAAAACAACAGCAATTAGAACTGTAGCTTGTCCCTCTGCCTTTAGAGCAGCATTTCTCAACCTGTGGGTTGTGACCCAAAAGTGGGTCACAGAAATATACAAAAGGGTTGTGAACCTACTTGAAAAATGGATTCTCTTTTAAAAGAGAAAAATGTGGGGAATGGCAGGTTTCCCCTTGTAGGCTGGCAGAGTTCCAGCTTGCAAGGGGCTGCAGGGAGTGGAAGCAGGGCGATCAGGCAGGGGGCGCCACTTGGACGTGCGGCAGTCAGCAGAGTATACAGCAGCTCCAGCAACTCCCTGCCATGGTCCAGGCACTGCTGTCGCTTCCCTTTAGGCCATGCCTCTACACAGAAGAGGAGGTGGGGTGGCAGGCAACGAGTCTTGCCACTCTGCTTCATCTTCCTGCATCAGGTCCTGCCTGCTGGGACATGGAGGTGGCTCCTGCCCATGTCAGTCCAGCCAGGCTGCAGCCCTGTGCCTGCTGTGGGTGCACAAATCTTGGGGAGCATGTGCCCCCCCACCCCACACACTGGGAGGCTAGGACCTGAGGGCAGTGGGTTGGGAGTGAAGGGCATCCACAGGGCTGGGGGTGTGGGGGGCTGTGGGTTGGGAATTAGGAGCACCTGCAGGGCTAGGTGCCCTCTTTTCTACTTAAACTATTTACTGGGTCAGGACTGGCTATGGATGTTTACAAATGGGTCCTGGCACAAAACAGGTTGAGAACCAGTACTTTAAAGCAACCCCATCCAGCAAAAACTATTCCAAAACCCAGGAGAGGGGAAAAAGTGGAGGAGGGGGTGCTGGAAAGATACAGTAGTTACTTCAACTAATACAGTAATCTCAGGGCCGGACCTGTGTAGGGTTAAAAAATCCTCCCATTTTCAGCTAACTCAAGGGAGAGAGATGTGGCCTACTGGGCAAAAGGTCCACGGGTCCCAGTGCAAACTGAACGGATCACGAGACTGTGGACACAGGCCAGACAGCGGTTTAATTTTTCCCCCTTCAGGATAAGGCAGGAAACAAGCTATGCTACTAAAAATACGACTTGCCAACCCAAGTGCTGGAAAACAACTCGTTCTGCAGGAGTCTGTGGGCGGCAGGGGGTGCTTTCCACCCCCCTCGGGCACTATGAAGGTGGAAGAGCAGAAACAAGTCTCAACTCCCAAACGCTGCACTTGGCAAGGGAGATACCAGGGTTCCCCCGCCCCACAAGAGCTCTTGGAGGCTCTGCAGCTTGCCCAGGGTCTCCTCTGTGCTCAACCCCTGCAGCAGCTCAGCCGTCACGAAAGCAATCAAACAGCAAGGCAGGCCATGCCTCCCACCACGGCGCGCACAGGCCCAGCACAAACACTGCGAGACCCACCTCGCTCCCTGGAGAGGCGGTTCTTTCTCGCTAATTGGCGCACGCCGCACCCAATCAGAGCCCGAAGTGGCGAAGCTACTGACCAATGAGGGGCCCGCTACGGGTGACAGTAGCAGCCGCCCGCGGCGGTGATCTTATCCGTGCCTGTCTGAGGCGAGCGAGGAGCTAGTGCTGTTCTGAGCTGTGCTCCACTCCGCAGGCGACAGCTGGCTTGCTTGTAGCGCCTCGCCTCCTCCAGCCCGCCCGGGGGTCTCGGAGCCCGCAACATGGCCGGCAGCTCGGACCACGCCTCGCAGCAGCTTAAGCAGTGGCGGGACCAGCGCGGCTCGCAGGTAGCGCGGGGCACCCTGCCGCCTCCTCCCCACTTCCCGCCGCGGCCGCTGGCGTCTTAACGGACCGCGCGCGGCGCAACCACCCGTGCCGGACGGGTGCATCCACATGGCAGCGGCTATTGTGAGATGGAACCTTTCGGGGGGAGGTGGGGTCGGCGACATGGCTGCGGCCGCCGTGAGATGGAGCCGTCCAAGGGGGTCGGCCGCGAAATGGCAGCGGCTGGACTTGTGAGATGGAACGTTCCGCGGTGGGCAGCGGCTGCTGTGAGATGGAACCGTTCAAGTGGGCGTCGGGGCCCGCGATTGGGGAGTCGCGGGGGGTGGGGCCAGGACGCTGGGCGCCCCCTGGAGGCGTTGCCCGGGGGGGGAGTGGGGGCGCCCCTCGCAGGATGAAGTCTAGAGGCCCTGGCCGGGCTGGTCCTGCTTTGAGCAGGGGTTGGACTAGATCAGCGGTTCTCAGCCTTTTCTTGTTTTTTACCAGGTCCTGTTTGTTAAACATCCATGGCTAGTCCTGACCGAGTAAATAGTTTAAGTCGAAAACAGCCCCTGGTCCCTCGCTGCTGCCCTGCTGGCCCCAGCCCCTCCAATGTGTGGGGGCAGGGGGAGCCTCAAGCAGCCCCTGGCAGGCTATAACTCTGCCAGCCTGCAAGGGAAATCCCGCTGTTTCCCACGTTTTTCTCCTTGAAAGGAGAATCCATTTCTGAAGCTTGTTTGGGACCCTTTCTATACTTCACGACCCACTTTTGAGTCGTGACTCACGGGTTGAGAAACGCTGGACTAGATGCCCTCCCAAGGACCCTTCCAGCCCTCGCTTTCTATGATTCTGTGACAGTCGTAGTGCTGATAACATCTTCTAATAGTGCTTAAAGTCCTGTATGGACAATAGGTTTGCTCAAGCGATGGCACCCTGCAGTGCTTCTGTTACTTACTTCCCAGGCAGGCATCAAATTAGAGCAGAGGTTTTGCTTTTTTTTCCCCAGTGTGGTGTTTTGTGAGGCTGAAGAGTTGGAGCGAAGTGCCAAGACAGTATCCAGCTACTAATGAATCTAAGCATTTGCTATCCTTTAAACTAAATAACACTGGTTTGATAGGTGGGTTGGTTCCCAGTGTCTGAATTAATTTAAATTTAAGAATTGTTGTAGAAAACTGAGGTTCTAATAGGAGACGGATCAATAAAGAGTTGAGTTGGGCTTTCACAAGATGATTAGTACACGTCACAACATGGATTTTTGGTATTTGGAGTAATGTTTGCTACAGAACAGATTGTAGGTATTACATTTATCTTGGTTGTCATGCAGACACATTGGAGGTATGAAGAAGTGCAGTGGAAATCAGAGAAAGGACATTTTAAAAAAAGCCTGTGTAAGGCACTAGTACAACTCAAAAGGTATTCAAGGCTCTTCAATCTAGATAACTTCCCTTTGCTGGGTGGTTTTGACAAATGCAGTGTCCTCCTGGACTCTGTTACAGTGTTAATTCTTCATGGTAAACAAAGAAGGAAGACAAACTTACAGATTTAAAAGGCTTAGTCCTGCAGGCTGTTGAATCAGCATTAACTCTTCTACAAGTCAAGGAATGTTGTATTTACTTCAGAAAATCTCTCTCTATCTGAAGGAATTGCTGTCTCAACACTTTTTTAAAACAGTCACTTGATCAAAGAGGAAAACTGGTCAAAGTTTGTTCAGACTGTCGTTTTCAAGTGCCCTGTCCTAAAACTTAGTTTATTAAATAGTTTGTCTATGTTTCCTTCTGTTCTTCTGTTCATTGTGCTGATTGCATACAGCAGTGGTTCTCAACCTGTTTAAAGTTGAGGCACCCCTTGTTTGACTCAAGGCACCACTCGGACTTAAGGCGCTCCTCCATAACTTGCGTGAATTCAGCAGCACCACATTTCAAAAACTAATTTATAGGGATTTTGGGCGCTGATACCGATAGACAATTTTTAAGGAGGCATATTGGCTGATAGTGATCTGATTTCTGATATGCAGCTGGGTTTGAAGAGCTGTGTGCAACTGGTAAGTCTGTTGTGGTGGAAGGGGAGGGGGAGGGAAGGAGTGTGTGGGGGGTCAGATCAAGGCCTCCACGGTGAGGGAGGAGTGGCATAGGGGTTGGGGCAGGTGCTGGGCAGGGCGTGGGATGGATCTGCAGCTTGTCTCAGGGACACGGGGCAGGGGAGTGGCTTCCCCTGCTGCCCGCATCCTGGGAGAGCATGGGGAACATGTGCCTTGGATCTGCGTGGGGTGGCTGCAGCTGTGGCCTGAGGTCAGGGCGGTGCCAGGCTCTTCCTGGTGGGGGCTGGGCCGGGGCTTTGCTCTGGGCAGGTGGAGGTGGTGCTGGGAAAGAAGTTATGAGGGGGTGGGAATGCAGCCACCCCAAAATTTACCATGGTCCCCCCATTGCCCTCCTCTGAGCACTGCTGCTGCCCACCTCAAGCGCAGTCCCGGCCCAACCCCCCATCTCGCGCACTGGTAAGAGCCTGGTGTAGCCCCAGGCTGCAGCTGCAGCCCACCCCAACCCACCCCGCAGAGATCTTGGGGTACATGTCCCACCCATGCCTTCTCTCCCTCACTGCAGGGGCCTTGACCTGCCCTCCCTAACAGACTTACCAGCTGCACGCAACTCTTCAAGCTGCCAAGCTGTGCTCATCTTCGCCTACGTGCTGCGCTACAGCTGTACACATGCACAGGCATTTAATCGGCCAAATCAGGCCAATTTCCAATACAGTAAATTTTCTTTAAATCAGTGCCAATCCGGTATCAGACCAACGTACCAGTGCACCTCCACTCTAGAAGTGTTTACCTCCTTGCTGATGGGCAAGGAAGTGGAGGCAGTGCAGTGGCCAGGCAAGGATGAGCCTGACCTTGCCCTTGTGTCCTCACATCTTGTGGCACCCAAGATTTTGTGGCATCCCAGGGTGCCTGACATACAAGGTACCTTGGCATCCAAGATATGCTTCATCAAGAGGAACCAGACGATCTGAGAAGGGGGAATGGGGGCAGGGGGCTATGAAACTGGGTCCTCACGAAGTACTGCAAAAGCATAAACAATAAAACACAATAGCACAGAAATGAAGTTTCATTTCTTTTAGTTGTAGCAGTAAAGGGAACATGGTTTAAGAAAAAATAATTTGTTTTTGTTTCCTTCATATATTTTCATATCTCTTCCTCCTTCTACCACTCTCCACAGTTAATCACTATGAAATTTTGAAACTGATGTCCTTTTTCTTATCCCATTAGATAAAAAGACCTTCACTAACTGTTTATAACTGGGTAGCAAATATATTTAAAAAAGAAAAAGTTCTTCATTGCTCGCTCTCTCTTTCCCATGTTTTTCCATCTCTCACATAGGCTTTGTAAAACAATGGCAGGCTGGTGTTGGTCAGACTCACTAGCTTTGTCACTACTCATGAAAGCTACAGGCCTTTTGAGGATTTATGGAAAGCAGTAGGAGCCCTGTTCATTTTGGGGCTGGCTATGCTGTACATTTATCATTTTTTAATTCTAATATTATAATAGTCTTAGTCTGTCTGTCCATAATGCTTTATTCACACTCTGATTAGTTGCCTTGGCAGCCAATCGGAGTGTGCTGGACAGAGAGACACTTGGCAGAGCGCTGCCATGACAGCGGGGACTAAGGTGTCAGAGCAGGGTAAGGCGAGGCAGAGGGCGACAATAGGGACTGGAGCGCCGTCATGACGGAGGGGATGGAGTGCAGTGGTGGCAGAGGCGTGGAGTGCTGGCTGCTTAGCGCTGGCCTCACCCTGCTCCACACGGCAGAGCACTGCCATAGCAGCGGGGACTGGGGCCGGAGTGGACTGGTGGCTCTGTCCCCATCCTGAAGCAGTGTGGGGGGTGGGGAATGGCTTTGGTCCGAAACAGCAGTGGCGTGCAGGGGAGCAGCTCCGGCTCGAAGCGGCGGGGTGGAGTGGCCCTGGTCTCGGCCTCGGCTTCGGCCTGAAGTGGAGTGGAGGAGGGAGGTGACGGCCCCGGCAAGCAGCAGGGGGGAGGCAGGGAGCAGCTGCGGCCCTGGCCCAAGGTGGGCGGGAGGGGGGGAGAGGGCCAGATGCAGGCCTCTGTCCGTGCCTCCCTCCTCAGTCATTCTTGATGGGCAATTTGCTAGTATATTAGAACATAGTTTCTCAACCTGTGGTACGCGTACCTCTAGGGGTACGCGAGACACAGGCAGGGGGTACAAGAGAGATAGATAGAGATGGAGGAAGACGGTAAGAGAGTGTTATGGACTACTAGGTTAATATTCTAACAGAGTCTGTTAGAGGTAACTTAAAGATTCATATCCATCTTGGACTAGGAAACTACTAGATGTTACTGTATCAAAATTGGATTGTCCAGCCCAATTTTTGAGAGCCATCCCTGGCAAAATTTTATTTGAATGCTTTGTTCTATCACAGTTCAAGTCGTGGCATGTATGACTCTACACTGCATCCCCCGAACCTTTCAAATGATGACCAAAGAGTCCTGTTCCATGTGTGAATATGATATACAAACACCAGACTCATGTTGTTCCCAAAGAATAAAGGCCTACCTAGAAATCAAGAGGTGTCTGGACCAGCAGTCCTCATGAACTTTTAGTTTACAGCTATATTCCTTCTCTATCTGTTTCACAGAATCATAATGTTTTTAATAAAAGAGAATTAATCTAATATCATGGCTCATGGAAGTCTCCACAAAAGAGCACAAAGATAAAGATAAAGTAATAAGAACTTGTAAAGGAGTACGGTCTTTGTTCAAAATGTGGATGTATGTTATCAAGTACTATCTTTCATTTGACTGTTAATGTATTTTTGAATGATGAAAAGATATATTGCGTTGCTCGCTTCAGTTTGTGTCATTCAGAATGAGAATTAAGCATAGGTATGACTCATTGTTTTTCTCCAGTCTTGTGACTTTGTATTTGAAAAAACCCTTGGGACTAGTCCTACACAGCATAGATTCCCATGAACTTTGACTGGAAATTTTGCCTGCATAGAATGGCAGAATCAG